AGCCAGTTGGTGGTAAATATAATAAGATTATTCCTGTGATGATATAGTAATCGTAACAGCAGTATAGCCAAATATTGACAAATCAGGATGAAAATCAACATGGTAGTAAAAGTATAAACATCATGATGAAAACCATAAATAAAAGAGTAAGGAATATGGAACAGCATTGAAATTGTGATTGTTTGTTTTGTTTTGTTTTTTGCTGCAGTTACTAAACCCTGATGACAAGAAACCCTGTTAAAAAATGGTTAAGAGTACCTTCATGTCTGGCACTGTGGTTATATTGATCCAACTGCAGGGGTCATACTAGTTAGCCAGTAGGATTAAATGACGACATTGACCAAGGAAGGATGAATGGCAGTCACAGATTTTTCACTTTATGTCTGGAATGAACAGAGGAATTCAGTCCTTCCAGACAAAGAAGAATAAATAATATGAAAGAAGAATGAAACTTCATGACTGAGTCGGCACAAAATTCCAAAGGTCACCAGACAGAAAATACTTATTGACATTGAAAAAACAAACAAAAATGTTTGGATTCAACACTAGCTAATCTTCCTCCATAAATTGTCTGTGAGACCAAACTTCAACAAGTCATTTCAAGACTTACAATTAACAACCACCATCATTTTAAAGAAGTATAGTGTTCAGTGAGAGAGTGGTGCGATGGCCTAGAGGTGAAGCTCTCGCCTCACAGTCAGGAGACTGTGAGTTTGATCCTAGGTAAAGGCAGATATTCTTCTCTCTGGGCACACTATATATCTGCTGAACAAAACTCCGCATTGGTGACAGGAAGGGTATCCAGCCATTAAACTACTCTGCTAGCTCCATTCAGTTGCCCAGACTACACCCAACAAGGGATTATGGGGTCGTTAAAAGAAGAAGAAGATGATGATGATATTGTGTTCAGTGAACATCTGTAACATCAGACTAAGCTTCAGCTTGCCAGAGATTTTCAAGTTGGCTATAGATTTATCTAGGAAAGTTTTTTATTTTTTTAAAAAAAATACAATTTAATGCAGGATAGTTTCAAAACCATGGCTGGTGGATTTCCCACCATCTTTTCTCTCTCCTGCCAACAGGAAAACCAACTATCCCTTGTCTCCTGAATGTGTGTGTGTGTGTGTGTGTGTAGGGGGTTTCAAGCCTTCTTTTTTTTTTAATCATTTATTCACCCATAAATTTTATTATTTGCTGTATGCTTCTTCTGACAGTACTATCAATCTCTCAGGACTGATAGCCCTATGAAAGAAACAGAAGATCTTTATAACTATGTCAAACAAACTTTTTGCCAAAAGCTTGCCTGAATGATTGGAAGAGCTATTTGTGAAACAGAAGAGCAGCCCGAAAACAAAAGCTTTCAATGCTATTGTGCCTCTGGTTGTTTCTTGCCCTCCTCACCACCAGTTTCTCTTTCAAATTGTTTTGGTGAAGCAACGACCCTGTCCTGTCTCTTCCACTTCACATTTCAGCTGGGTCTGTATTTCTGTGAGTCTTATCTGCAATCAGGCATAAGGTTTAATTATATAAGAAATGTCCTGAAGTATGAACTGACATCATCCTGGTTGTTATGGGTGTTTATTAAAGCATAGGCTGGTGATAATCACATAATGAAAGAACCAGAGATGAATTTGGAGAAAAATTGTGGAATATTCTGAATGAATTCCCTCTTATTGGTATGATTATGACTGATTATTCTGTTGCTTTGCATGTACACTGAGAGCTTCTGCCCTGGAGACAAATTCCTTGTGTGTCTAATCAATTTGATTCAATTCAGTACCATAGTGAGTTGTTTGGTGTTTTGTGCGCTTGGGGAATTCAGCCATCTCTGGTTCCATCCAAAATGGATAAATTCAGTAACCAGGTTTTGTGTGTTGAGTGAACTCAACCAAGGTCACTATAAAACGGTGTTTCTCAACCTCAGCCACTTTAAGATGTGAGGAGTTCAACTCCAGAATTCCCCAATCAGAAGTACAGATTACAGTGTATTGTTACTGTGCCTCAGGTTAGGTTAGATCAGGGGTCTGCAACCTTAAACACTCAAAGAGCCATTTGGACCCTTTTCCCACAGAAAAGAAAACACCGGGAGCAGGGGTAAAATGCTCCCGGTTCGGACTGGATCACCTGATCCGGTAGCGATGGCGGGGGTTTCGGAGAACCGGGAGCCACAAAACCCTTCCCATGCCTGACTATTTCTTGAGTGGCCACAAAACTAGCATATGTAGTTGAATTAAATGTTCTGTTTTCTTCTGAAAGTTTTATTTTTTTGGATTTATCCATGGTTGGCCTACCGCAGGTTGAAAAGCTCAATAAATCACGTGCCGGTGGGTGTCGCACATTGGCAGTTGTGACACATATTTTGAGTGACAGGGAGCCGCAGCAGAGGGGTGAAAGAGCCACATGCGGCTCCAGAGCCGCAGGTTGCTGACCCATGGGTTAGATGCTTGTTAATTTAATATACATGCTGGTTGGTAATAATATAAAAGAGGTTTGTCATTGCCTTCTTGTGAGAACTTCCACATCCAAATAACAGCCAGTTTTGAGCCTTATCTTCATTTTGATATCAAACAAAATTTGCCTCCTGCTATAAAATAAGGGGAAATGTAACCACTCCTTTTTCATACACAATAACACATTTTTAACAAACAGCCAAAGTTTTATAAGCTTCATTTCATTTCATCAAATACGATTTTCTGCTACTGTAGGCTAACCCACATCTCCTCCTACCTACACTAACTGTTGTAGAATTGTGTTAAACTTTTCCATAAATTAGAATTTATTGTACTTCATTAGATGTGCGGAGTGTTGCTTTAGGTTGCCAGATTTCATAATTGTGGGCCTGTTCGTATTTATAGCTGTGAGAAGGTTCGTATCAAAATATAAAACTCAAGCAGGAGATATAAAATATAAAAATATAAAGCTCAAGCAGGAGACCTTATACCATTTCAGACAGGCGACTATCCAGTCTGTTCTTAAAAACCTTCAATAATGGAGTACCCACAACTTTTGAAGGCAAGCTATTCCTCTGATTGATTGTTCTCAATGTTAGGAAATTTCTCCTTAGTTCTATGCTGGATCTCTCTTTGATTAGTTTCCATCCATTGTTTCTTGTCCTCCCTGCTGATGCTTTGGAAAATAGGTGGACATCTCCTCACATCTTTGTGGCACCCTTCAAATATTAGTCCTTCTTTTCTCTGGACTAGCCATACCCAATTTCTGCAGCCGTTCATCACATGTTTTAGTGTCCAGGCCAGTGGTGGGTTCCTCCTGGTTTGGCCCGGTTCCCCCGAGCTGGTAGCGGTGACGATATGACATCACCGAACCGGTTCTGCCCCCCTGCCCCCTCCCCCGCATTATTCTGACCTCATTGTTCCCTCCTGAGTCCCAGCTGATGGCTAGAGGGGGAAAAAACTATTTAAACTCTTGCTGCGGGGCTTCAAAGGGCCGCCCTACAGCTGATCAGTGTTAAAAGAAAACAAATGAATAGACCGGTGCCTGCAAAAATAAAGGGTAGACCAGTGCCTGCAAAAATAAATGGGTAGATTGGTACAGCTCTGCAAGCAGTTAAAAGCCTGGTAGACCAGTACCTCTGCTAAATCCTAAATAATTGTCACATGACCATCAAGCCACGCCCACAAAATAAGCCACGCCCACAGAACCAGTAGTAAAAAATTTTAGAACCCACCCTGGTCCAGGCTGCTAATCATCATTATTGCTATTCTTTGCACTTTTTCCAAAGTCTCAACATCTTTTTTATAATGTGGTAACCAAAATTGGATGCAGTATTTCAAGTGTGGTCTTATTAAGGCTTTGTAAAGCAGTACTGGAACTTCATGTGATCTTGATTCTATCCCTCTTGCATTGGCTTTTTTGGCTGCTGCCACACCCTGCCGTGTGTACTCTGTGCCGAACACCTTTGATAGGGTGTCAGATTGAAGCTGGATGATTGCAATTTGATTTCCTTGGGGCAGCTCTTGAAGATTGCTCCAATGTGTGAGAAATGCACCCCCCCACCCCCGTGTGTTGGTGAGCAGGAGACACTTTGATCGTGTAACACAAATTCTAGGGACACTATGTTTGTTCCTGGATACAAATGAGGGGGCAGTTTATTATTTATAAGTGCAATGCCCCTATAGCCTTTATTTGAGGAAGTTGCTCTTTAGATATAATTTAATTATTGATTTTCTTGGTTTTGCTCGAGTTTTCCTTTGTAAAGCAAAGTTACAAACATAATATTTTTTTCTATCCTTATGAACATCTTTTATGTTTGTCTTTTATTTTTTCCAAGAAGATATGATCACTGTACTTTGTAAGTTTGTACTTTAATTGTACATTGCGTTTTAACCCTAATTTCTATATTGATGTACTTAGCTTTTTAAAAAAGAATTATTATTCAAGTACATATGTATATCTAATGCATTTATGTAACTATCGTATTTTTAACTTACTGCATTTTGTACTTTTTGTTCCATATTTCATTACATAACCATATAGAGAATTTTATTTATTTACTTCATTCTTTTTATGCCACTCCATATGACACTAGGAGGCTTAGAATTTCAATTACTTAGAAGGAAAATGATATATTATACAGGTAGTCTTGAAGTTAAACCATAATGGAGCCTGCCCATCTAGGACGTAACTCGAGACAGTCATAAATATTGTCATCCATATGACCAACCTGAACATTGTTGGGATATTTTAAAGGGCTTTGCAGATGGGTTCCCATCCAAGTGGGGATATTTAGATTAGGCCAGATGACACCAGGTTTCCCACCTGGGGCCCTTAGGACCTGTGCTCATAATTTATTGGGCCACAATGTGGAAATGGTTCACCCTTGTTTCTTCCAGGCAGAGCAGAGATCTCTTTGTGGTCTCCTGTCCCCTTCTAAAACCAATTCGGCCCATTTTAATTAGAGGCCAGATGACGGTTGCCCCTCACATGCCACGCATGTGAGGCATTCCCAGCCAGCCTTTGTGGAAAGCAGGCATCACAGCCTCTGAGTGTACACGGAGTTTATTTGCGCCCTCTGCTCCCATCCCGCCTTCTTCGGCCCCTGTTCTGACATGCACTGCTGAGAAGCCCACAGATGATGAGATGCATCGTAGCCGGACTCTGCCTGGAGTTGAGTGACCTTGGGGTCTCCTCGGTTGGGGCGGTCGGTGGCTCTTGTGCTGGGGTTGGATGCGGGATCTCTTCTGCTGCAGGATTGGGAGTCTTTGTGGCTGGAGGGGGTATGGCCTCCTCGACTGCAGGGGCCAGGAACCCATCAACCAAGGGACCTGGCCCAGAGGACCGGCAGAAGCGCAGCAGCTTCAGGAGCCTCTCCAGCTCCTTCTCCATGGTGGTCCAGAGCTTCCCACATGGCTGGTCTTCTCCCTGATTGGATCTAAAGGAGGTGGGATCATTTTCCCCCTGCAGGAAAGGGGAGCCAATCACCTCCCGGGATCCTTTTCTTTCCAGCTGGTTCTCGACCCCAACTTGGAATCTTTTGATTTCCAGTTGATTTTCAAGTCCCTCCTTGGCTCCTTTGCTTTCTTCACTTTGCTGGGGATTCCCAATCGCCTCTTGGGATCCTTTTGGGTTTAGCTCAATTCCTTCTTTGGATCCCTTTGTCTGTAGCGGAATCCCAAGCAATTCTTTTGAGTTTTTACTTTCTAGCAGGTTAGAGTCCGCCTTCGTCTCCTCAGGAGGCATCTGTTAGTGGAAGAAAAGATGCCAGGCTTAGAGGTTTTGAAGGCCATCCTTTCAGTAGATACTTCTTTTCCCAGAATTCCCCAGGCAACATGCTTTAAGATTTGTGGACTTCAACTGCCAGAATTCCCAAGTCAATGTTCTTTAAGATGGGTGGACTAACTGCCAGAATTCCCCAACCAGTATCTGTGGATTTTAAGTCCCAGAATTCCCCCTGCTGGCTGATGAATTCTGGGAGTTGCAGTACAGATATTTTAAAGTTGTTGTGGTTGAGAAACACTGCATTAATGTACTGAAGACCTTCTAGATGCTTGACTGACTGGTTCTAGGGAAGAAAAGTAGCATTCAATTAAAGATTTTTTTATTTCGTTAAAAAAAAGTTTTTCTATCCAATTTACTTTTGTATGTGCATGTATGTTTCTCTGTGTTTCTCTCTGTATGTGTTTCTTAGGACAGTGAACCCATGGCACTGGTGAGGTATTAATTTTACTGTCATTTTTAAAATCTAAAACAAATAAATCTATTTTTTAAAATTATGTTTGCATTTGTTTATTAGCTGCCTCTACCTCTTTTATACAATGCAGATGGCCTTCTAAAATATTCAGATAAATAAATAAGGCTTAATTCTCTGGGTGTTCCATATGCTGTGAATGCAGCCAAGTTGATTCTTTGGCTGAGCATCAGTTTCAGAGTATCATGTGAACTCATCTAAGGTGGTGGTCAGTTCCTCATTTTCATGTCTTCAGGGAGACCCCATATATTAACCTTCCCTCTTTGTTGTCTCCCCCAATTGTCTTCCAGGCCCTCTACCCAAGGCTCACCTGTCTGGGTCCCCCCTCCTCCTCCTGCTCCTCCTCCTGGGCAGGAGGGATCTTTGGTAGCACCTTCCCCCTCTCCTGGCCCACGTCATAGGCAATGAAGAGGATGCTCCAGGCCATAGCACAGCAGCCACCCAGGATGATCATCAGGGGCACCCAGTAGGCCTCCCACTGCAGGGACTCCAGCAGGGACTCCTGCTGGACTTTTCGGGAGCGCAGATGCTGCTCACAGGGGACTTTGGACCCTCCCACAAAGAAGGACATGAGCAGATAGAGGTAGATATGACCATGGAGGCTTTGGGCAGCCATGCCAGCAGCTTCTGGCAGCAGGGAGCTGGCCTGGATGGTGATCACTTGGTCTTCCCTGACAGTTACAGGCTCCTCTGCCCCCCTCCCCTACCTCCATTGTGACATCAGAGCAAAGATGACTTCACACATCTAAGCAACAGCCACTGGATTGAGGAGACACTCCCTTTTCAGGGAGGTTGCCAAAAGGTGGCACCTTGGCTCAGGTGCGTAGCCAACTCAGAGAGGTTGGCTCACACAATCTCCCGAAATGAGAACCCATTTTCTTTAGAGGTCAAGGTAGTGGGTTAGAAACCATGAGTCAGGGTAACTCTAAATCCTGTAATAGGCAGAAGAACCAGCTAGGGGCATTTGGGCTAATCACCAGGAGACAGTGACTTCCAGCCCTGCAATAGGCGTAGTAAGTTCTAGTCCTGAAAAACAAATGACAGTCAGCTGAGTGACTGAACCAGTCGGCAGTAGATGGTGAGTTCAAGACAAATCGTATACAAGAAAGCCAGCTTCGTGACTTTGAGCAGATAAGCAGAAAGCAGTGGGCTCGAGTTTTGCAATATACACTACAGGCGGGTGAATCAATTATTTAATTTCTTTTTTCAATTTTTCAATTCTTTTTTTTCAAGTTTTAATCTTTTTTTCAACTTTTAAATATAATTTAAGAGGAGGAGGAGGAGGAGGACTGTGAGGTCCTTGGTGTTCTCTGAGCTTGGTTGTTTTCTTGCAGGCATTTCATTACCCAACTAGGTAACATCATCAGTGCCAGAAGGGAGTGGGGTTTGCTCCCTGTCTATAGGTAGTTCTCAATTTACAACCAAATCTCCTACTATCTATACTAGCTCACTCCAGTGAAGGCCCTCTGGAACTGAACAATCATTTTCATTGCCTCCTATTGGAAGAAAATGCGCATACACCCACAAAACAGCATTCATCAATAGTTTCTAAAAAAAGAGGCACAGCCCAGCATTCCTGTGATAGGAAGAAAAGTATCCCAGATTTCGCTAAGAAAAAAAAAAAGACAAATATTGATGATAGGAGATTTAATTCTTAGGGGAACAGAAACTATAGTCTGCAGACCAGGCAGTAAATTTAGGGAGTTATATTGTCCCCCTGGAGTAAAAATCAAAGATATAACAGAGTACCTTACTAAAATAATCACCCCATGGATTACTACCCCTTTCTTCTACTATATGTATAGACCAATGACACAACAATAATGCTGAAAACTATAATGAGATTACAAATAGCTAGGGAAGGCAGTTAAAGAATTGGGAGCACAAGTGGTACTTTCATCTATACTTCCAACAAAAGGCCAAGATCCAATGAGGTAGCAAAGGATTTTAGAAATTAATTTCTGTCTTAAAAACTGGTGTCATTAACACAACTTCAGCTTCCTAGGCATTACCTACATGAAGAGCTACTGGCAAGAGGCTACTCACAAGAACTGGAAAGAATATATTTGAAAAATGACCGGCTCATCTTATCAAAACAACTTTAAACTAAAATTGAGAGGGGGTGGTGGTGAATCTTCACAACCTTTAGAGCCTAATTCCAAGCAAAAACAACTAGATCACATAAGGAGATAGGGAGTAAAGAGAAAGAAGAAATAAAAAAAGAAAAACATAATGAACTAGAGACTGATGGAAAAGATAGAAATCCCAGTTACAAAGTAGGAGATATAAAAAACATACCCAAGACCCATAAAGGACTCAAATGCTTATACACTAATGCTCAAAGTTTAGGGAACATACCGGATGAACTTGAAATATTAGTACATGAAGGCAGATGTGATATAGTTGCCATTGTTGAAACTTGATAGGATGAATCTCAAACTATTCAAAAGAAACAGACCTAACAAAAGAGGAGGTGGAGTTGCATTATATATAAACGATCACTACATCTCTACAGAAGCATGGAAAACTAAGTATAGAAACCTCCTAGAATCCATATGAGTCAATATAAAAGGGAAAAAAGTGACATTGCTGTAGGCGTATAATACAGGCCACCCAACCAAGCAAAAAAATAGATGGACTCTTTGCTAACTAATTAATAAATATATGTAGGAAACATACCACAGTAGTAATGAGAGACTTTAAATACCCTGATATCAACTGGGAGACAAACTCTACAACAAGTGGGAGATTGAATAGATTCCTAACCAATGTAGCTGACAAATTTATCATCCAAAAGGTAGAGGAGAGAACTAGAGGAAAACCTAGACTGGACCTAATTCTTACTAATAGAGAAGAAGTGATGGAGGGAGTTGAAGTTGCTGGAATCTTGGGTGAGAGTGACAACTTCATATTGGAATTCAATATAATGCAAACACAAGCAATATAATATAATCCAACCAGTGAATTAAACTTTAAAAGAGCTGATTTTAACAAACTCAGAGACAGCCTAAGAAAAATTCCATGAATTAAAACCCTAAAGGGAAAAACAACTCAAGAAGCAAGGAAAACTCTGAAAAATATGATAATAAAATCCCAGTCTAACGCAATACCACTGAAAAAGGAAAACAAGAAGAAAGAAATACACGAAGAAACCAGCATAGTTGCACAAAGATCTCTCTGATACACTGAAAGACAAAAAGAATAAGTACAAAAAATGGAAAGAGGGACACATAACTAAAGCAGAATATCAGCAGATAGCCTGAATCTGCAAAGATGAAGTCAGGAAAGCAAAGACTCAGAATGAACAAAGATTTGCAACAAAAGTCAAAGATAATTTTAAAAAAATATTTCAACATATAATTAACAAGAAAAAAGTCAAGAAAACAGTTGGTCCATTAAATAGAGAAGATGACAAGGAAGTAACAGGCAAGAGCCTTGGTAGTACAGTGGTCTAAAGCACCCTGTTATTAAGACCAGCTGCCTGCAATTACTGCAGGTTCGAATCTTGCCAGGCTCAAGGTTGACTCAACCTTCCATCCTTTCTAAGGTAGGTAAATTGAGGACCCAGTTGTGGGGGCAATAAGCTGACTTTGTATAAATATACAAAAGGATGAAGGCTATTGCTTAGCACATTGTAAGCCGCCCTGAGTCTCCGGAGAAGGGCGGCATATAAATCAATTTTTTTAAAAAAAATAGAAAGAAAGCAGAGCTGCTTAACTCACTTTTTGCAACAGTTTTCATGCAAAAAGAAAGTATAGCCCAACCTACCAAAAACATAACTTTAAAAATAAAAAGAAATAAAAATTAAAATAAATAAGAAAATGGTAAGACAACACTTGTCTGATCTTGATGAATATGAATCACTGGGACTGATAGATTATATCCCAGAGCTCTGAAGGAGCTGGCAAATGTTATCTCAGAGCCATTGTACTGTATCTTTAAAATATTCTGAAAAGCAGGGAACTACCAGAGAAAACTACAGACCAATCAGCCTAACATTAATACTTGGGAAGATACTGGGAAAAAAACCCCAGATCTATGAATATCTAGAAACAAATAAAGTTATAACTAGTAGCCAGCACTGGTTTGTTAAAAACAGACCATGCCAAACCAATCTTATTTTATTCTTTGACAGAGTAACTAGATTAATAGACCAGCGAAATGTTGTGGACATAGTATACTTAGACTTCAGCAAGGCATTTGACAAAGTAGACCACAATGTACTTCTTGCAAAACTAGAAAAATGTGGGATAAACAGCATCACCATTATAGATGGATCTGTAACTGGCTGACAAATAATACTCAACCAGTAGTTCTTAATGGTACTACATCTACATGGAGGGAATTAAGCAGTGGGATACAACAGTGGTGGCATTCAAATAATTTAAAAACCAGTTTGCCCAGGGTCAGGTTGGCTGTCATGGGAGGCATGGCCCACCCCCATTCTCGAGTTCCGCCACACATGCAGGACGAGCCTCCTGTGATGGTCAACCTGACCCTGGGCAAACTGGTTGTGAAATACCTCCCCATGGCTATCAAAGTGGATCTTGGGGGCTGCATTGCAATGGAGAAATGGAATGGCTGGCACAAGGGAAAGATGAGCAGAGAAAGAGGAAAAGTGGCCTCCTCCTTCCCTCACGCTGGCTGTTCCATTGTCTTAACCCTCCGCTATCAAAGTGGATCCTGGGCGCTGCGTTGCAATGGAGAAATGGAAAATGGAGTGGCTGGCATGAGGGAAAGATGAGCAGAGAAAGAGGAAAAGTGGCCTCCTCCTTCCCTCATGCTGGCCACTCCATTGGCTCCACCCCCCCCACCCCCCACCCCCCGCTATCAAAGTGGATCCTGGGCGCTGCACTGCAATGGAAAAATGGAAAATGGAACGGCTGGCATGAGGGAAAGACAAGGAGCAGGGAAAGAGGAAAAGCGGCCTCCACTTTCCCTCATACTGGCCGCTCCATTGCGCATTTCTCCATTGCAGCACAGCGCTGTGGAGCTTGCTCTACCCACCACCACCCAGATGCTTTTGTTTCCCCCAAGCATTTCTTTACCTAATTTCCAGCTCCGTTGCATTTCTGACTGTGCTCTGCCTGCAGCGCCCATGCTGTCTGCCCCTACCAGGCCAGAGCTGGAAGGCTGCTGCATTTAAGTGCTGATAGAGATGCTGGTCTTCCTTCTGGAATGTCTGAGCAACTGCTGGAGAGAGATGGGACATTTTCAGGGCCTGGTGCCAGATGCCCTTGCTTCCCCCAACAATAACTTTGCCTACCTTATTTTCATAAAAAAGAACTTCACATATTTTTTCTTTACATCAACCTCATGTTACAAATTGGTACTATGAAGATGGGATTAAGCACAAAAGAATGCTAACCGATCGACACACTGTAATTGTTTGGAATGATGACGGTTTTATGTTTTGCTTTTGTTTTAAAATAAAAAAAAAATGTTTTTTCAAAAAACCCCAAAACTTTGCCTACCAGATTTCCAGCTCCATCGTGTTTCTCCATTGTGTTTCTCGCCATCAAGTTCAGGGAAACAAGTTTGTGTGACTAAAAAAAAAGTTCAATCAACCAGTTGGACCTTCGCGAGACTTTTGTTTGTTGCGAGAATTTGAAATTGATAGATTGAACTTTTTAAAGTTATTTTTTCAAGAGTTCTATTCTTACAATATGCA